CGTCGCGGCTCGGCGCCTCGCCGTCGTCGCCGTGGGTCCAGCGCGTCATCTTGTAGCCCAAACCCTTCTTCGCCGGCGCACCCGCCGGCCGGCCGGGCGCGACGAAGGCGACGCACCGCGGCTCGACGGGGTTTCCGTCGCGCGCCTCGGTCCGCAGGTCCGCGACGGCCGCGAGGAAGGACCGCTTCGCGTCGCCGAAGACGTAGAGCACGGCCGTCGACGCGTCGACGGCCGCGACGCCACCGACCCAGGTCTCCGGCAGGTAGGGGTGCCGCCGCTCCACGGGGCGGTAGTCGAGGCCCGCGGCGCCGAGGTCCGGCGCGGCCGCGCCCGCCGCGCGCCGCAGCTTCGCCTCCTTCGACGGCGCCGCCGCCGTCGACAGCGCGTCGAGGGGCACGTTGAGGTTCGAGCCCCACTCGTCGCGCGTCGCGTCGTAGAACTCGACCTGGAGCGCGCGCCGGTAGGACTTGGACCCGTAGCCGACGGCGTCGAGCGGCCGCTCCCACCTGGGCAGCACAAAAGTGATTCAAGTTCGCTTCAACGTGAGTGTTCCGCGCGCGCGCGTCACGAGAAAAAACATCCACGCGTCGACACCGTTCCGAGAGATGATCGCTCGTCCAAAAATCAGCCGAAACGAGTGGAAAATGGCCGAGATCGGAGCCTTTGAAGTTGGGAATTTCGCTCTCTTGTGCTGCCCTGGCTCCCACGCGTAGACGTGCTCGTCGTTGGGCCGCAGCTCCGTCCAGGGCGCCACGGTCTGCTCCTCGTGGGACGCGGCGACGACGCCCATCTTCCGCGCGCCCTTGTGGACCTTGGACCCTAAATACTTGGCCGTCGACTGCGCGGACTCGTAGGCCTCGGACGCGTACGTCGACTTGCGCCGCGGCGCCTTGGGGTCGCCGCCGAGCAGCGCCGACGCGGCCCCGCCGACCAAGGCGTCCCGCAACGAGTGCGCGTTCTTCTCCAGCGTCTCCGCGGCCGCGCCGAGCGTCGACGACGGCCGCTTCGCCGCGAACGTCGGCGACGTCTCCGCGGCGCCGCCCGATTGGCCGCGCGCGCGGAGCACGACGCCGCCCTGGGCCTCCGTGCGCGTCGCCACGAGGGCCTCGCGGCCCGGCGACCGGCCGGCGTGGGCGAGCTCGGCGACGACGGCGTCGCCGGTGTCGCCGTCCGATATCGCGAGCTCGCCGTCGAAATCCGCGACGGCCAAACCAAAGGTCGCGCTCCCGAGCTTCTGGCGGTAGCGCACGACGCGGCTCGTGCCGTTGGCGATGCGGTAGGGCGGCCAGCGCTCGTCGGCGCGCTCGATTACCGCGAGCGTGTCGTCGCCGGTTCGGCGGCCGCCGCCGCCGTCGTCGGGGAGCCGCGCGCGCGGCTCGCGCCGGAGCCTACAGAGCACGGGCGCCGCGGCGCCCGCGGGGTCGTGGAGCTTGAAGGCCGTCTCGCCGCGCCGGCCGAAGCCGTCGACGCGCAGCGCGCCGGAGACGAGCGCGGCGCCGCCGCGGAACGTCGCGCGGACGCACACGAGCCGCGGCGCGGACGCCGACGCCCAGCGGAGCTGGCCCTCGGCGCGGGGCCGCAACCGTAACACGTGGTCGCCGCCGTCGACGGCGACCTGGCCGACCTCGAGGACGCAGTCGGCGAGGCCGTTGCGCACGGTGACGCGCGGCAACAACGTCGCGAGCGCGCGCCGCGGCGCCGCGCCGGCGCCGTCGGCCGCGACGGCCACGGAGAGCTCGTAGGACGCGGGCACGCGGCCCCGCGGCCGCGGGCAGTTCAGGCTGAGCGACGCCGCGGCGGCGTCGGCCTCGCGGGCCGCCCTGTGTGTGTGCGGTGCCGATTTGCCGCCCGAGTCCGCGTCATCGACGCGCCCCGCGGCGCCGTCGTCGTCCCGCGCGCCGCCGCCGCCGCCGGGCGGCGCCTCCGGCGGCCGCGCGGCCCGCTGCGGTCCGAAGACGAGCGACGGGCCCCGGAGCCGGCCGCTGGCGGCGTCGACGCAGGGGAGCGCGAGCGGCGCGGACTTTTCGGAACCCTCGCACGACACGCGGACCGCTGGCGGCGGCAGGTCGACGGGCGCCTTCGACGCGTCGCAGAAGACGACGCGGATCGGCTCCGTCGCGACGCGGCGCGCCGCCGCGCAGGGGTCCCAGGGCACGACGGCGCCCCAGTCCGCGACGAGCGCGCGCCGCGCCGCGGCGTCGCACGCGAACGCGACTGGCGGCGCGCGGTCCTGCGCGTCGAGCGTCGCCTCGAGCGCGTGGCAGACGCGCAAACTGCACGCCGACGACCCGAAGGACGCCAGGTCCCGCCGCGCGAGCTCGCCGAGCGTCGTCCGCAGCGGCAGCCGCGCGCCGCTTCCCGCGAACCACGACGCGGCGCCGCCGCCGTCGTCGGCGCGCGCGAACGCGAACGTCGCCGCGAGCGCGTCGTAGGCGGCCCGGTCCGCGGCGCTCGCCGCGCCCAGCGCGCCGGGCCAGGCCGCGAAAAAATCCTTGAGCAGGCTCGCGAGCGTCGACGCCGCGGGCCGCGAGCAGCGAAAGGCGACGCCGTGGTCGCAGGGCCCTATAACCTCGCACGCGACGTCCGGCGGCGCCGGCGCCGGCGGCGCCGGCGCCGGGGCCGCGCGCGGCGCGCCCCCCGGCGCCACGAGGCCCGCGTGCGAGTTGGCGACGAAAGCCTCCTCGAGCTCGCCGCCGTCGCCGCCGTCGTCGTCGGACGACCAGCCGTCGGCGGCGCCGCTTCGCGACGACGCCCGGCCCGTGGACGACGTCGAGGCACCGCGGCGGCGGGTCGAAGAGCGCGTCGAGGTCGTCGGCGCACGCGCCGTACGTCGCGGCGACGTCGAGCAGATTCTGCAGCGCCGCGCGGCAGCCGAGCTCCACGGCGCCCGACGCGTCGACGGTGACGACGACGCGCAGCGACGGCGCGACGCGCACGCGCTCGACGCCCGCCGGCGCCTGCAGCGTCGCGTCGAGCGCGTCGAGGCGCAGCATGACGCGCGCGACGAGCGGCGGCCTGCCCGCGCGCGCCGCGGCCGGCGGCCGCCGCGCGGCGGCGTTCGCCGCGTCGAAGACGTCCCGCAGGGCGATCTCCAGCGGCGGCGACCAGGCGTAGTTGGCGATGCGCACGCGGAGCGACACGGACGGCGCGTCGCCACGGTACGGCGCCTCGGCGTCCGCGGGCAGCACGCCGCGCCGGTGCCCGCCGCCGACGAGCTCCCAGGCCAGCGGCACGGGCAGCCCGTTGCGGAAGACGAGCAGGGGCCCCAACGATATCTCGACGCTCCAGGGCCGCGCGTCGCGGGCGTCGTCGTCGTCGGGCTCGGGCGCCGCGTCGCGCGACGTCGTCCGCGCGGGCGGCGCGCGCGAGAAGTGGTCCTCGTCGCCGGCGACGAGGCGCGCGCCGTCGAGGGTCACGGCGGGCTGCTCCTCCTCCGTGCCGAAGTGGTCCTCGGCGGAGACGGCGATGCCCGCGGCCCGCGTCGACGCCTCCTGCGCGACCGCCGCGCCGCCGCGGTCGTCGCGCGTCGCCGCGGCGCGGCACGCGAGCCCGCCCGCGCGGAACGCGCCCACGTAGGTCGCCTCGAAGCTGCCGAGGCTCTCGAGCGCGACCCAGGCGCCGTCGACGTCCGCGAAGCGCCGCGACGCCGTCGCCTCGGGCCGCGCCTCGAGGACCGCGGCCGCCGGGAGCGGCGGCAGCGACGCGACGCCCCCCGGTGGCGCCGTCGCCGCGAAGAGCACGGCGCCGTCCTCGCCGACGGCCCGCAGCCCCAGCGCGCAGTCGCGGCAGTCGTTGCGCACGGACGCGCGGCCCCGCAGCGTGACGACGAGGTCGCCGCCGCGCGCCTCGGCCGTCGCGGCGACCCACGTCGACTCGCCGCCCCGCCGGAGCCGCAGGGGCAGCGTCGACCCGGGGCGGAGGGCGCGCTCGAGGCCCCGCGCGAAGGTCCAGGGCCCGCCGCCGTCGCCGAGCTCCGCGGACACGGCCGCGAGGAAGACGCCGTCGTCGCCGCCGTCGCCCGCGCGGCCGTCGTCGCTTTCGTCGTCGGAGCTCGCGCCGTCGTCGCCGACGAGGCCGTCGTCGCCGGCGGCGACGCCCTCGTCGCCGGGCGCGGCGAGCGCGACGCGCGCCGCGCGGCCCCGGCGGCGGAAGGCGACGATCAGCGCGCCGCCGCCGGGCACGCGGTGGCGGCAGACGAGGCGGTCGAGCCGCTCCGCGAGCTCGACGTGGTCGTCGCCGTCCCAGTGGCGCGCGCGCCAGACTCTGAGCGCGTCCGTCGTGCACGTGAGGTTGACCGCGTCGAGGCCCGTGACGTCGGCCGTCCGGCCGTCGGCCGTCCGCGCGACCTCGACGCCGCAGGAGAAGGGGTCGACGGCGGGCTCCCAGGCGGCGCCGCGCCGGACGTCGCCGCGCACGTCCAGCGCCGCCGTCGCGCGCAGACACGGCGACCCGTCGAAGGCGCCCGTGAGCGCGACGGCGAGTTCCGCGCGCGCGAGGCGCCGCCGCGCGCGGAACGCGAGCGCGTGCGCGCGCACCACGACCCTGGCGGCGAAGGTGCCCCGCGAGTCCGCGTGGGCCGGCGGGCTCAGGTCCACGCGGCCGAGGTCCGCCGCCCAGGGCGACGCGGCCCAGAGCATGACGACGGCCTCGGGCGCACCGGGCGCCGGGTCGTCGCGCGCGAGCGCGGCGGCGACGTCGAGCAGCGCCCGCGCGTCGGCGCCGTCGCCGCAGACGTCCACGGGGCCCTCCTTCCCGGCCAGCGACGCCTCGCTCGCGGACTCGTAGGGCGCCGCGTCGAAGTCGGAGCTCGCGAACGTCGCGCGCCGGTCGTAGCGCAGCTCGCAGGGCTCCGCGAGGCGCCGCAGGGGCCGGCCCCGCGCCGTCGACAGAAAGGCCCCGCGGAGCGACGCGTGCACCGCGATGCGCGTCGTCGTCTCCGTGACGACGCGCGTGATCCGCGCGCTTTCGACGTCGACGCTCGCCGCGCGCGGGCCCGCCGCGCCCCGCTGCTCCCAGACCACGTCGCCAAAGTCGACGACGAGCTCGCTCTGCCAATGCTCGAAAAAGGTCGCGTAGGCGTCGACGGGCCGCCGCGGCACGCACCGCTGGGCCCGGCGGAAGCCGCCGAAGAGGAAGCCGACGACGGCCCTGACCCGCGACGGCGGCGCGCGCACCGCGAGCGCGCCGAGCCAGACGCCGACCCAGTTCGCCGCGCAGTTCGTGCGGTGGTCGTAGGTGAGGGCGTTCGTCGACCCGCGCCGCGGCGTCGCCTCGGCCCACGCCGCGCGCTCGTCGGCGCCGGGCTCGAGGACGCGCAGGAACCCCTGGACGTCGACCTCGCTCGCCAGGCCGCCGCCCTCGGAGACGCGGTGCAGGGAGATGCGCAGGGGGCCGGCGTCGAGGTCGCCGACGGGCGGCGCGGCGCCGTCGCCGCGCATGCGGATGCGCGCGCCGCGCGCGGCCGTCACCTCGACCTTCCAGGAGCAGCCCAGCGTCGCCGCGAGCGCGTGGGGCGCGCTGCCGGACGCGAACCAGGCCTCGGGGACGCCCCGGGGGGCGCCGGCGCCGTAGGGCGTCTCCTGCCACCACTTGGCCGTCGCGCCGTCGCCGTCGTCCTCGCCCATGTTCCCAAAGAACAAAGCGACTGCGCATGCGTACTGGTCCCGCGTCAGCGCCAGCTCGACCTTCTTCGACACGCTCAATTCCACGACAATCTCGTGCGTGAACTGGAGCTTCTGCGGCGCGCCGGACGCGCGCGTCGGCAGGAACGCGAGGCTCGACCGCCGTTCCGCCGCCGGCGCGCGCGGCGTGCCGACGATCGTGACCCGCAAATCCCGCAGGTCGCCGATGCGCCGCTCCGGGCTCACGAAGCCGCCGCAGGGGCTGCCCAGAAAGTCCTCCGTGGCGACGCCGCCGCCGGACACCGCGGCGTCGACGTCGATGACCGTCGTCTCGGGGACCGCGACGACGCCCTTGATGCCCCGGCGCACGGCCACCAGACTCCGGCAGTCGAAGCGCACGGCCGCGAGGCGCCGCCGGCTCTCGGGCAGCGTCAGCGCGACGCGCTCGCCCCGGATGACGAGCTCGGGCGTGCCGCCGTAGCGGCCGCTGCCCGCGGGCCAGATCGCGAAGAGCCAGCGCAGGAACTCGGCGATGAAGTGGTGCTCGTAGACGAAGCGCGTCTCTTTCAGGGTCGCCGTGAAGACGGGGAAGCCGCGGGCCTTCTTGTAGCCGTCGAAGGCCAGCTCGAGCACGCCCTCGCGGATCATCGCCTGGGCAGGACAAGAGAGCGAAATTCCCAACTTCAAAGGCTCCTAGCTCGGCCGGTTTCCACTCGTTTCGGCTGACTTTTGGACGAGCGATCATCTCTCGGAGCGCTCTCGAAGCGTGGGTGCTGTTTCCGAAACGCGCGCGCGCGGAACATTCACGTTGAAGCGACGTTGAATCACCCTTGTCCTGCCCTGATCATCGCGCGCCCGTTCCAGTCGTTCGCGAGCGGGTCGACGAGCGTCGCGGCGTAGCGGCCGTTGGCGACGTCGACCTCGAAGGACGCGCCGCCCCGCAGGACGAGCGCCGCGCGGTACGTGTCGACGCCGCGCCGCTGGCGGTAGAACCGCGCGCGGCACTCGCCCGTGAGCGCCACCGACACCCGGAGCGTCGACGTCGACGGCTTCCAGTCCGGGTCCAGGGCCGGCGGCAGGCCGAGTTTCGCGCCCCGGCCCATGCTCGGGTCCACGCGGCTCAGGTCCAACCCGTCGAGCGCCGCCGCCCAGCCGCCGTCGCGCCGCGCCAGGGTCGTCTCGCGCGCGCCGCCGGCGAGGACCTCGACGCCGAAGCGCGTCAGGGAGAACGCCACGCTCGCCGCGCCGGCGCCGCGCCCGTCGCACCGCAGGTCGCGGGCCTCGAACCGGGCCGCGAGGTCCGGCTTCGCGAACGAGACCGCCGCGCGCGGGCACGTCGCCGAGACTTCGAACGGGAGGCCCGGCGGCCGCGGGAACGCGACGCCGTAGAGCGCCAGCGCGACGAGCGCCAGGCCGCCGAGGGGCCACAGGGCCAACATCAGCGCGACGACCGCGCCGAAGGCGACCCAGGGGGGCGGCGGCTCCGGAGCCGCCGCGGCCGGCGCCGGCGCCGCCGGGGGCCCGCGGAGCGCGTCGACGATGTGCTGGAGCAGGCCCATGTCGACGGTTGCGTCGATGGCGCCGACGGCGACGGCGCCGCGCGCGACGGTCGTCGCGCCGACGGCCGCGAGGGGGTCGCCGTCGAGCTCCGCGGCGCCGCGACACGACAGCGCGACGGCGGCGAAGGTGTCGAGGGCGACGTCGGCGACGACGACGAGGTCCGCGCCGGGCGCGCCGCCGCCGTGGACGCGGCACGTCGCCTCGACGGGGCCGTCGAGCCGCCACCGGGTCCGCCGCGCGGCCGCCGCGGCGGCGGCCACCGCCGCGGGCGCGAGCGGCGCGGCCGCCGCGCGCAGCGCCGCGCGGCCCCAGCCGCTCTTGCGAGGCGCCGGCGCCGCCGCCGCCGCGGCATCCCGGTCGACGTCGCAGGCGACGCGCGGGCGCGACACGCGCACCTCGGGCCCGCGCAGGCCCAGGCCCAGCCGCACGGCGCCGACGCGCGCGTCGAGCGCCCGGTTCCCCCGCGCCAGCGAAACGCCGGCGTCCGCCACCTCGACCGCCACGCAGCCCTCGTCGTAGACGACGCGCAGCCGCATAGCTCGATCAATGCGATGACATGCTGCTCACTCGTGAGACGATTTGCCACTAGAGGCAATTGCACGTCAAGCAGCCGATGCAGCCGCGAGCGTGATCGGCGGTTGTCTAGCGTCGGCGCCCACCGGTGGGCTGCCCCGCGCCGCAGCGTCCGCGGTGCCATGCTCGACGGCGTCCAGGACCCCGAGGGCCTGCTGCCGCCGTCTCCCGGCGTGCCGGACCCCATCCCCATCGTGCCCTGGGACGAGGACGACGACGACCTCGGCGACTACGGCGACCGGGGCGGCGACCTCCTGGAGCAGTACGGCCAGCACGCCGACGGCGGCGAGGAGGAGGAGGAGGAGGAGGCGGAGGACGAGGAGGACGAGGACGCGCGGGAGCTCGCCTACGAGGACGACGCGCGGCTCCGCGACGACGTGGCCTTCGAGCGCGGCGACGGCGACGACGAGGCGGGCTACGCGTACGCCGAGGACTACGACGCGCGCTACGACTACGCGGACGAGGAGCCGAAGCGCTTCGACGTCGGCGACCGGCACAAGGCCCTGCTCGAGAAGATGGCGTCCGAGAAGGCGCAGGCCAAGGCCGAGGCAGAGCGCAAGGCCGCGCGCGCGGAGCGGCGGCGCCAGAAGAAGCAGGAGAAGCTGCTCGCGGCCGCGGCGGCGCGGCGCGCGGCCGAGGCCGCCGGCGGCGGCGAGGACGCGCCGGCGCCCGCGCCCGAGCCCGCGCCCGAGCCCGGGGACGACGCGCCCGCGGACGCGGAGGAGCTGGCGCGGCGCGACCGCGTCCGCGACACGCGGCGGCGGCAGAAGGAGCAGTACAAGCGGCTCATGGCGACGCTGGTCAAGAAGCGGCGCAGCGAGCTCGCCGCCGCCGAGGAGAGCGAGGCCGAGCAGGAGGCCTTCCGCAAAAAGGTCAAGGAGGCGGGCCTCCGCCGCGCGCGCAAGCGGCTCGAGGAGCGCGGCGGCGGCGACGGCGGCGACCTGCCGGCGCCGCCGCCGGCCCAGGGGTCCGCGGCCAAGGCGGCGAACGCGCTGCGGCCGCGCAAGGTGCTGGAGAAGCAGAACGTGGTCACGACGGAGGAGTTCGAGAGCCGCGAGGCAGAGAACGAGGAGTTGCGGCGGAAGCGCGCGCTCGCGGCCGAGAAGATCAAGGAGCGGAGCCGGGACCACCTCGAGAAGCTCGCCGAGGAGAACCGGCGGAAGAAGGAGGCGGAGGACCTCGAGGCCAAGCGCCTCGCGCGGCGCCAGAAGCTCGTCCGCGAGCGCGTGTTGAAGGGCGAGGTCGACGGCGACGGCGGCCGGCCGCTCGCGAAGACGATCTCCAACGGCGAGAACAAGGAGAACGACGTCGCGCGCGGGCCCAAGGCCGCGCAGACCGACGCGCCGGCGGCGGAGAAGAAGGAGCCGACGCCGGAGGAGAAGGCCGCGCTCGCGGAGCGGAAGAAGGCGCAGCGCGCGTCCGTCGACCGCCTGCTGGCGACGACCAAGCCCAAGGAGGGCGGCCAGCTCGGCCGCGACTTCGAGGACTACAAGCGCAAGCAGGGCATAAACGACGACACCAAGGTCTTCTGCATGACGGGCTGGTACCCCTGCGTCAAGGACGCCTTGCTCGACCGCGGCTGGCACTTCAACGACGACCGCGAGTCCGAGTACTTCGACCTCAAGTGGACGCTGCGGTCCAACGAGCTCAACCAGCGCGACCTCAAGCCCTGGCAGCTGACGAACCACTTTCTGAAGAACACGGCCATCACGACCAAGGCCGGCCTCACGAAGTCGCTCCGGGGGCTCCACTGGTTCGCGGACGCGTCGTCGGAGGAGATCTACCCGCGCGCGCACGACCTGTCCAACGGCACGTCCTTCCGCCAGTTTCTCGATGATTTCCGCGGCATGGAGGCCGAGCGCGTGCTCAAGCTCGTCCGGAGCGCCTACGGCGCGGCCGAGGCCGCGGCGCCCGGCGCGGGCGCGGCGGCCGACGCGGGCGGCGCCGCGCCGGCGCCCGCGCCGGGCGGCGTGGTCGAGGGCGCCGCGCCGCCGGCGGCCGACGACCTCGACGAGCTCGACGGCGTGCTCGAGGGCGCGGGCGGGCCGCCGCGGTTCAACGAGGCGACGGTGCGCCTCGCGCTCCACGTCTGCTGGAAGAAGCAGCGCCAGTACCTCGACGACGACGCGGAGCTCGAGAGCGCGGGCTACGGGTCGCGCCTCGTCGAGGAGGTCGAGTGGGAGGTGCTCCGTGCGTGCCGCGGCTCCGCGGATCTGGTGGTCGACCTGCCGCGCGACATGCCGCCGGCCATGGACGCGGACATGAACATCGGCGACGACGAGGCGGAGCTCCGGGAGAAGAAGGCGCTGAAGAAGGAGGACGGCGACAAGGCCGGGTCCATCCTCGCGCGCGCGCGCGAGGAGCGGTTGGCCAAGGCGAAGCGCGCGGACGACGTCGACCGGCGCCTCGAGATTCGGGACGACGTCGCGAAGGCGCCCGTCGTCGTCTCCCGGGCCCTCCTGGACGAGATCGACTGGTGCCTCGACATGCTCGCGGAGCACGACCCCCAGTTCCACCTCAACGGCGGCCGGGAGACGTCGCGGAATCTGTGGATCGCGAAACCCGCGGCGAAATCCCGCGGCCGGGGCATCGCGACCTTCGACGACCTCGACAAGATGCTCGACCACTGCGACGCCAAGACCGGCGGCTCCGGCGCGTTGTGGATCGTGCAGAAGTACATGGAGAGCCAGCTTTTGATCGCGGAGCGCAAGTTCGACCTCCGGCAGTGGGTGCTCGTGACGGACTGGAACCCGCTGACCATCTACTTCTACGACGAGTGCTACGCGCGCTTCTCCGCGGAGAAGTACTCGGACACGTCCGAGTCCCTCGAGAACCCCTTCGTGCACATGGTCAACAACTCCATCGTCAAGAACAGCGACAAGTTCCACGCCAAGGTCGTCGCGGAGAACGGCGTCGAGGTCGTCGACTGCATGTGGTCCCTCGAGGACTTCCGGAACTTTTTGAATTGGCGCGAGGCGAAGGCGGCGCCGGCCGCGGACGCGCCGGAGCGCGCCAAGGCCGCGCACCGGGCCGCGGCGTCCGGCGGCGACGTCTTCCGGGAGCTCATCCAGCCCAAGATGATCGAGATCGCGACGCGGGCGCTCCAGTGCGCCCAGGAGGCCGTGGAGCACCGCAAGAACTCCTGGGAGCTCTACGGCTACGACTTCATGATCGACGGCGAGCTCAACCCCTGGCTCATCGAGGTCAACTCTTCCCCGGCCTGCGACTACTCGACGAAGGTCACGGAGCGCTACGTGCAGAAGGCGCTCGTCGACGTGCTCAAGGTCACGGTGGACCGGCGCAAATGGGAGGCCGAGGGCGGCGCGGACCGCGGGGGCGAGCCGCCCGACGCCGGCGGCTGGCGGCCCGCGCACGCGGGCGCGTTCGTCGAGACGCCCATCGCGTCGCTCACGGGCGGCGACATCTGCTGCGTCGGCGCCAAGGTCACGGCGCCGCGCGCCGTGAAGCTGCGCATCCAGGCCGCGAAGCAGGCCGCGCTCGCCGCCCAGCGCCTCGCGGCGGCGCAGAAGCGGAAAGAGCTCGCGGACCGCCACGGCGCCTCCAAGGCCGCGCCGCGGTCGCCGCGGTCGCCGCGGTCGCCGAAGCCGGGCCTCGAGACCGAGGGCCTCGAGGTCACGAACGGCGAGAACTCGCCGCGGAAGCGCGCGGCGCGCGGCGACGACTCGTCCGACGACGCCGACTCGATCCTCGACGGCGACGACGACGCGACGCAGCCGACGCCGACGGAGGCCGTCCCGGCCAAGCCCGCGCCGAAGCCGTCGCCGGAGAAGCCGCCGAACGCCGCCCACGCCAAGGCCGCGCCGCCGAACGCCAAGGCCGTCGCCGTGACGACCTTCGAGTTCAACTAACACCTCGTTTATCGGAGGAGCCCGCCGACCTGCGTGCCGCGCTTCGCCGAGTTCCGCGCCGCGACCTGGGTGAAGGCGCCGTCGTAGTCGTCGGCCGCGCGGTCGGCCGCGCGGCGCGCGGCGAGCGCGGGGCCCGAGTGCTGGAGGCTCTCGAGCGCGACGCGCGCGAGCGCGCGGTGGCCGCCGGCGCGTCGTTGGGCCGGCGCGTCGTCGGGCCGGTCCGACATGAGGCCGTCCTCGCCGAAGCGCAGCGAGCTCCGGACGGCGTCGTGTTGCGCCGCGCCGCGCATTGGCGTCGGCGGCACGGCGAGCACCGCGGACGGGTTCGCGGCCTGGAAGGACGTGCGCCGCGCGGGGCCCGGCGGCCGCATGCGCGCGGCGATGGCCCGGAGCTCGTCGGGCTGGTGCTCCGTGGGCACCATGCCCCGGCCGATCTGGCCCGACCGCGCGTCCGGGTTCGGCCGCTCGCGGTGGAAGACGAGGCCGCCGATCTGCGTGGACCGCTTCATGCTCACGGTCTCGCGGTGCACGGCGCGCTCGAGGCTGTCGTCCTCGTAGCCCGCGCCGGCGCCGCGGAGGCAGCCCGGCGGGTGCCGCGCCGCGCGCTTGTGCGACTCGCCCGGCGTCACGGCGGGGACCATCGAGGACCCGAAGTGGCTGTCGCTCTGGCCCTCGTGGATCCGTATCATCGTCGGCTGCTCCCAGAAGTCGCCGCCGTTCCGCGCGATCATGCCCTCGTCGGACGCGTAGAGGCCTACCAAGCATGACGGTAACGATTTCTCATTGTTTTCCCACCCCAAATCTCTCGAAAATCGTCACGGCGACAGGACGCTGGTAGAGGCCGTCGCCCGCGGGGCGGCCCGCGCCGCGGCCGAGGCCCTCGGCGCGCGGCGTCCGCGCGCCCTCGCGGTCCGGCGCGAAGTGCTTGCGGCCGTGGGGCGCGTCGGGCCGCAGCGGGTTCAGGTCGCCGGTCGCGAGCTGCGACGGCGGGTGGATGTGGAGGTGGTCGTTGTTGGGCTCGGGCGCGCCGGGGCCCGCCCAGCCGAGCACGTTCGCGATCTCGTCGTTCGCGGGCGGCGCGGCCGCGCCGGGCCGCCGAGGCCGCCGCGGCGGCGCCGCGGCCGCGGGCTCGGCGTAGAAGACGAGGGCGTCGAGCCGCGAGCTGTCGGAGCGGTCCTCGTACTTGAGCCGCGCGCGCTTCGGGGGCGGCGGCTCGTAGGGCGCGCGGAAGTGGGCGTCGAAGGTCGCCTCCTTCTCGAAGTCCACCTCCGACTTGGCCTCGGGCCAGAGGTGGCGCCGCCGCTGCGGGAAGCCGCTGCCGCGCTGCATGGTGAGGGCTGCCCCGCCGCGGCTGCAGAGGTGGCTGCCCGGTCGCGCGCCGGCCCAGGGCTGCCCGGTCGCGCCGGGCTGCAGAGGTGGCTGCCGCGCTGCTGCCCCGCTGGTCAGGTGAGGGCTGCCGTCATGTTACGAAACGCCCATGCTCTCCGTATAGTACGGCGTATACGCGGATATCCCCGAGGTCGGTGGAGCAGACACAGCTCCTTGCGTAGCAACCTGCACGTCAATGATGCAGCACTCTCGTCTCGCAGGCCGGCCTCGGCCTGGGCGCCGATTTGCCGCATCCAGAGCCTTCCCGACGCCGCGCCAGGCCTGCCGGCTCGGCCTGGGCGCCGATTTGCCGCATCCAGAGCCTTCCCGACGCCGCGCCAGGCCTGCCGGCTCGGCCTGGGCGCCGATCTGCCGCATCCAGAGCCTTCCCGACGCCGCGCCATGCCGTCCAACGTCGAATACGACCTCGACGAGGACGGCCTCGACGAGCCCAACGCGATGGACGACCTCCAGTTGGACGAGGATGCTTCGGATGCATCCGAAGAACTCCAGATGGTCGACGAGACGCTGCGCTTCGGCGTTGGAGACCGGGTGGACTGCAACACCGGCTACTGCTACGAGCCCGGCACGATCGTGCGGCTCTGGTACGAGGAATCGACGCTGGATGAGGCCGCGCCGTACCAGATCAGGCTGGATACGCCCTTCGGCCCGCAAGACCTCATCTTCGCGAAGTGGGACACCGACGAGTGCTTGCGCGCGCGCGATCCGGCGAAGGACGCCGCGGCCGCGGCCGCGAAGGCGCTCGCGGCGGCCGAGGACGCGGCAGCCGCGGTCGCGGCGCGCGCGGCGCTCGCGGCGGAGACGAGCTTCGAGGGCCACAGCATGGCGGAGCTCGACGCGTTCGGCTGGGCGGAGGGCGCGCGCGCGCGCGCGGAGTCGGAGTACCACTACTTCCTGGCGCTGCGGCGCGCGAAGCCGCTCGTGCTCGCGCGGACGACGGCGCCCGCGCGCGTCGTCGCGGCGCTGCGGCTCCGGACCCGCTTCGCGTGCCTCTATGCGTCTGAGTCGCTCCAGGCGTGCT